AAAAAAAAAAAAAAAAAAAACTTTTCCGATAGTTAAAATTAAAACGTTCATGAATGAAGAAGTACTGTATACTCTGTGCAGTTTCTCAAAAAGTTTACCGAGAGAAGACAAATTTTACTTCGAAATTAAACACCATGTTAACCCCTTTATGTTCCCAAGATCTGATTTTTAATTTCTCCTCTAGTTGCTACACGTCCATGTAAATTAGTTACTAGAATATGGTAATAGATCAAGAAAAGAACCTCTACTTGATAAGTTTGTGTATTCTCATTACCTGTGAGCCAGATTATGCAGGGAATATCAAAGGGAGATTTATACAAGCTTAATTATAGCTAAATTTAATCTGTGAGTTGACGAAAAAATGAAATTTCAATTCTAGGGTGATCAAGGACCACCTGGTGATAGGGGAAGTACAGGAGTAGTTGGACAGGATGGTGCTGATGTAAGGAAATAAGGAATACCCTGTAAATTATTGATTATCTTTGATTTATATTAACAATTGCCTTGTATTTGTTAGTTTTTCAATAAGTGTCATTTTCTTTAGTAAAACATCTTTGTTTTGGTCTTTCTACCCTAAAATTCACTTGAGAAAGTAGAAAGGCATCAAGGTGGCAAATTTTTGGACAGTTAAACAATTTAATGTGTGGTTGTATCGAGCTAGTATCACTGTAAAAGAGTTGTAAAGTTCTGCATTATTGATGTAGTGCAGTTGAAAGATAAGGGTACATTGCAGACTAGAGCCATGCACTTGTCTGACACGTATATGTCTGTAAACAGACTAGTTAAATAACACATTTAGATGAAGTGTATGTGCCTTTGTTATTCACTGCCATCACTTTCCTTTGTGTGCTATGGTGTTCCACAACAATAGTGATGGTATATGTAAATGTTCCCGTCTGCAAGCATGAAATTTGCAGCACAATTATGAAAATGTCAATGAAAACTATTGTATGCAGATTTAAACAGAAGAGCGAGATAATTTGAAATCTGTTATAGTTTTCTCAAAAGCTAAGAAAAAAATAGTTAACGAACACTGTCTCAACCCACACCTCCCTCTTGCCTGCAGCAACAGTTGGATTGCTATTACGGTTCACGTCTATGATCACAACTTTTATTTTACATGGGACTGTAATTGTTGGTTTGAACTGGACTTGGGAGTTAAATTTGTATGACCTATCTAGCTGCAATTTTTTTGTGTGTTTTTTATTCCCCTTCAGACCTTGCAGCTCACTCAGGTAGTCCCCAACAAAACTGCTTGCTACTCAGACTAGTCATTACAACCTCATGATTGCACTTAAAATCACCTATTTGGTATATAACAAACCCTCCAAAAGCTTCATTGAAAACCTCAAGAGCATCTAGTTATTTAAAGCCTTGAACACAAAACTTTCAATTCCAAATTAAAAGACAGTGATTGACTGGACCTCTGATTGATGCCTCAAGAACTCTCATCACTCTCATGTTTTTTGATAGGGACCACCTGGCCCTGCTGGTAGTCCAGGTGCTCGAGGACCTCCTGGCCCGCCTGGACCTCCTGGTAACCCTGTGATCACTATCATTGGTGTCCCTGGATCACCGGTTAGCTAAGTAACATTAATTTTTGCTTTTGTCTATCACAAATGAAAAGAGAGATGAAAACATCACATGAATAAACTCATCCCTGACAGTTTTCATTATAATAAAAGATTTCAAACAATGAGTAAAAACAAGGGTCAAGAAAATACAACATTCTCGTGCATATTCAAACCTTAGTCAATTCTGAACTTTTTGTTATCACTTGCTCTGCCAACTGAGATAATTACGTAAATTTTGATGAATTGAGTGACATTTTAGATTCATAGGTATCAACTGTCAAGCTCAAAAACTGTTAAAATCATCAAAAACCTGATTCCCTCATTATATTTAAGCCCCAGCCAGTTTTGATCTAGGGATTGGATACTCTGTTAATTTGGTTCAAGGGAACTTCATTTTTTCAATGTGTAGATTGCAATACGTTGTATTTAGTTTTTGCCATACTTGCATGGTACTGGGTTGGTTTGTATATTATGGTAAATGCCCTGTGCTCTAGTTTGTCTTTTTTAGTTTGTTGTTGGCATTTCTTTTTTTGTCACGTTTTCCATGGAGTCTACAAATCTTTCAAACCAGATCTTGACATATCATTTAGCCAGGTCAAGGGAAACCAGAACTTATAATTACCAGTCAGATTTACAAGTCAGATCATATGAGTCAGATTGTACAGATTGATGCATTAAACAGATATAAAAGTTCAAGTCGAACATTATTTTATTCTACACAATGAGTAAACTGATCATATGATGACTGGAGCTTGTTTCCTACAGGGAAGGCCCGGAAGCAAAGGACCTCCTGGAAGAGATGGTCCACCAGTATGTATAATCATTAATTATATTCAACACATTTTAAATTTTTTTGTTGAAATGCTAGACATGAATCAGGTCAACTTGCATGAAAGTTAGTTTTACTTGACTTGCATGTACATGTAGTTATATAATCACATAGTTAGACTGGGTTATTCTTTTGTTTTTGTAATTCACATCAGCAAGGAAAACTAGATATACTTTGACATATCCATTTATGATATTAATTACATCTTGAAGACATTTTGTGTGCAAGGAGCAACTTAATCCAGGCAAACATCAGTTGCTACTTGTTGCCTCTTCCTTTATCACAACCTCCTCATTGGCCTTATAATTAACACAGGTTTACTTTGAAACTCTAGGGTCTCCCTGGAGAAATTGGTTCACCCGGGCCTCAGGGAATAAGAGGATTAGAGGTAAGTTGTTGCGGAAAGAAGAATCCAATCTGCCCTCTTTCAGGGAGGTGTTGGTTTATCAAATGTAGCTAAAACGAAAAAATAAAATTTTCACTCTTCTCTGAAGTAACTAACATTTGTGCAGGAAATGACTCATTTTTTGTTTTGAATGCTTAAGAAAATCAGATTTAAGTATTGTTTTTTCAAATGTTTTTATTAATCAGAGAACATTAAGAGAAATATATATACAACTTAACATATATTAAACCATTAACAAGTAATTCAACTGAAAAAATTAATCAATATGTACAGTAATGGTGTGGAATTGGGATCCTACATGTAACAATAAATTTTGTATTTCAGGGAAACCCTGGACCTCCTGGTAACACTGGTGAGCGAGGTCGTGATGGACAGAATGTAAGTACTTACTTAATTTTTTTTGTCTTTGGATCACTTATCTTTATCTGTATATATAGGGAGAGCTCTTTGAGTAGACCAGGGGTTTCAGTAGTAGCCAGGCAAAGGGTTAATTTTCCAGCTTTAAGCCTTTACACAAATGTCCTAATGTAAGCCTATAATAATATGTACAGGTAGGTTCCACAACAGTGACCACGCATTCATGTATTGCTACTTCCCCTAGATGGGTCCATCACACCTTATCACCCACCCAAGAATTCAAAAGAACAACCCAGTTAGAGCCAGATTGTAGATTTATCGACTCAAAATTCAGCATGCATACTGCTGGGTAACCACACCTCCTATATACTTCACATCAACTTCTAGAAAAGTCTGTTCTATGATGCAGTTTGGTGATGTAGGTTGAGTATCTCTCCTTTCTGTAGGGAACAAGAGGCCCACCAGGATTAAGAGGTCCGCCTGGACTTCCAGGAACCCTGGTTAGTGACACTTTAAATTTCAGTGATGGTTTAATCTTATGTTGTACTATTGTAACAAATTTGATATTGACCAGTACATGATTATAGATACAATTTGGATATATCAACAAAGTTGAAATGGTAAATTGGCCACTGTAATGATTACAAAAGCTGACGTTTCAAGCGTTAGCCCTTCGTCGGAGTGAATAGAGGAATTGTGGGTTGTGTGTGCACATGAACAATCACTTGACGACAGGCGAGACAGTTCAGTAGTAGTCCTAGCCAAGATTTTATGAGTTGTATAGTATATGTGTCTCATGAAATCTGGGGATCAACTATGAACTATGGATATTACAATTTGCAAATTAAATGAATTTTGATGACTATAATTTTTTTTTGTGTGTGTGTGTGTGTGTGTGTGTGTGTAGGGTGAACGGGGAAGTGAAGGACCAAAAGGTGAACCAGGGCCAAAAGGTGATCGAGGATTTGTTGGGAGGAAAGGTCCAAAGGGTACAATTGGTAGTCCCGGCCAAAAGGTGTGTTCATGAACTGATATCCTTGATTGTTTTGATGTACAGTACTTGCTTACTATGTGCTTTCAAATTCTGTTGTAAATATTTGTTTCTATGTCCAAACCATTCTGTTTCAATTGTTTTGATTACTTGTATCCAGATATAAGAGCCAGTTTCCACTGGAAATTATTAATAGATTCATTTGATTAAATCAGCAAAAACTTCACATCTTTCTTTTGTGAAAAGGTACAGCATTTCTTACATGCTTTTCAGAATTGAATTTCCTCTACCCCACCTGAATTTCCAGGCCAGTCCCAGCTACAGTTACAGGTGGGATCCCACTTCACCCCACGTGCAAGCATAGCTGGGATCCAGCCTCAGTCCAATATAATTTATGCAACAGAAGACGACAGAAGACAATACACATCTCACAATCATTTAAAGATTGGGAGCTGTTCCAAAAAAATTTTTCCTTGCAGAAATATCTTAATAGGGGTGATTGGAGCATCATGAAACTTATAGAAAATATTTTTCTGTGGAGAGAGTTAGAGCATTTTATTGTTTAAATCAGCGAATTATGTAGATGGGAAGATATTCTTGGTTCTGTTGTTATTGGGAATTTTATTCAGAAGTAAAAAAACATTAATTAACTAATTAGGAGACAAACTTGAAAGGGAAAACCTCTTTGTCTCCTTTTCAACTTTCATTTGAATTTTAATTGTGAATAAACAGTCAACAAGAAACCTTTATTTTTCTTTAATGCTATAACTGTGCTGTATGAGTAGCCACATACAGTCTTGGACTGCCTATTTTTTTAAATCTCAAGATATGTTCCTCAAATAGCTAAATAGCACCTTTAGTGTCTAAATTTGGAATTTTTTTTTTTATTTTAAGGGTACTGATGGTTTTCCTGGTGCAGTAGGAAGGAACGGAAGCAATGTAAGTACTGACAATGATATCTAAATTGTAAGTTTTAAGCATAAAAAATAGTGATAATTAGCATTCAAATTTAGTGGTTAGTAGTCTGATGACTTGGCTATGAGGCATTTTCGAGCTTAGCCTGCTTCATTGTGCAAGGCCCTTATATGGGAATTTTGTTTGTTAAAGCTTTTCATAAATAAATCTCTTCAGTACAGCAGTATCTATATCTAATACCCATTTTCTATGGATTGTGGCTCATATTCAACTTAATTTGACCTGCTTGCCATTACCAGATTATCTAACTATCAAGTTGTGAGATGTGAGTTTAGCGAATAAGTGATGTCCAAGACTTAACTAATACATTTAGTATAAGTTTTCCAATTTATGAATCAAGCCTCTTGTACAACAAGAATCGTGTAGTTGGGACCCAAAAGCACAATCAAAAACCTTGAAATATTCAATTTTTTAGGTGTGAACAAATTTAGAAATTAAAATATCCCTAGATTTGAAATCTCCATGGGTTTAAGTCTTCTTTACCTTTTTGCTCTAAGTCCTTTCTGCTCTTTAAGTCTGATACAGTTTCACCATTTATTACTCCCAAGATCTGATTGAAAATTCTCCCCTCTAGCTGAGACACTTTTCCTTGTTAATTTAGTTACCAGAATGTGTGGTGAGATCAGGATAACAACATGTGCCTGATACATTTGAGTATTCTCGTTACCTGTTTGTCAGATAAAGTATGGATGTCGTAGGGAGATTGTTAAATGTGAACAGTACTGGTAGTCAATTTAACGGCCCTGCTCCCAGTTGGCTTGTTAGCTCAATTGGCAGAGCGCTGCACTAGTATCGCAGAGGTCAGTGGTTC